GGAGCATAGCTCGCCAACCCCTTGAATTCGGATGCGAGAGGGGGCGACACCAGCATCCTTCGGAGCCCTCGAGCATACACGTCCGCGGGGGATGCGAGGCCATAGGGGAATCGGTCGTATGGTGGTTGCGGTGCGGACAACGCGGTCCCTTCGGATAATCGGCGAAAGATAGTAAATAGCGAGTAAATAATAGTATGCACATTACTCATAGCGGGGTTTGAGCAGAGTGTTTGCTCGAAATGAAGCGCAGTGCCTCGTCGTTGAAGTCATTGGGTGTCCCGGAGCCGATGGAGGGCACCCTTCGACAGGCGCCGGAACAAGTGCCTCCTTGCGGAGGTGCAGCACGCCGAGCCGGTCGGTGATGAAGTCTAGGCTTTCGAAGAGGCAGGCCTGGGATGGCTCGAAGACCGGTGGAACCCATGTCCCAACAGGTGGGAGTGCGGGAAACTCCAACGAGCCGAAGCGAGTCGTATTGCTTGAGCCCGCCGTGGCGAAGGTGGTGAAAATGCGGGCTATCCGATGACCAAAAGTGTGAACGTACAGCGTCTTCCCCATGGACGGCGCCAACTATAGGTGCAGAAAGTGACCAACACATAAATATTTGTAGTTTTGCCGTACATTGTGATCGGATGTGGCCTAGCATTCAATGACACAGGGTTTATACTGGTTGAGGCAACGTGCCCTACGTCCAGTTTGAGTCGGTCGGTGACTTTATTCCTGAGCCCAAGTGCTCGAAGTTTGTAGTGGGGTTACAAACGAGAAGGAGAAAGATGGAGGGTACAAGAGGTCCGGTCGGACTCTGGTCTGAAGGGCCGAGAGTGACGAGAACTCCATTATGTGCTAAGTGTTCGAACGTGTGCTCGAGGTCTAAACCTGATGGTTCTATTATTGTGTATTGAATCGGTCTAAGTGAACTAATTCGATCTATCTGTTGGGAGAGAGCGCATCCCCTTTTATAGATGAAGGGGACGACCTTTACAGGCGAGAGAGAGAGAGAAGTATGTATGCTACCAAGTCTTATTGCTCACGCCGTCGGGTACAAGATAATGGTAGGCGCCCATAACACTATTGTTGTTAGACGCATGTGTGAGGTTTCATCATCTTCCTCTGGTATGGCAGACGTTGGTGCCTGCCATACTGTTGATGCCCAGAGGCATGTAGGGGGTTTTACCATATTCGCCTGGTATGGTAAATGCCGGCGCCCGCAACACTGTTGATGCCCAGAGGCATGCGGGGGGAGCCTTACTGTGTTTGTCTGGTGTGGGAGTTGATGGAGCCCACAACACTGTAGGAAAAATGTCAGCGCCCACAACACTACTTGGGTTCTGACATGCCAAGAAGGTTGTAGGGTACTGTCCTGCAGGTGTACAGGGTACGGTCCTTGGTATTGCGGTTGACTTGAGTGTTCTGCTTTACTTGCTCTGCCCGTTTCCTGGTTCTCACCGAGCAGACGTCCCCGGTCGGTTGGTCCCAGTCGGTTTTGATTGTGCCAGTCGGAGAAGAGCTATAAACAGGGGTTCGGCTCATCCCCGGTCGGAGACGCGGCTCGGAGTCGGAAGTGGTATTTGGCCAGGCCTTCTGGTCGGAGAGGCTGTCCGGAGGCGGGCCGGAGTTGGAAGCGAGCACTGTTCCTCCTTGGTGAGGCTTTCCGGTCGAAGAGGCGGGCCGGAGTCGGAAGCGGACGTCGTTCCTCCTTGGCTAGGCTTTTTGGTCGGAGATTGGATCGCCCTTCTGGTCTGTCGTTTAGTTATTTTTGGCCGGCCCAGGAGTTGCGTATCGTTCGCAACGTTGTCTGCTGGGCCGAGCCTTCGTTAGAAAGTCGGTCCATAAGGGAGCCCGGGTTTATGAACCCGACACTAGCCAAAGATGAAAAGCAGGAATGATTCTTTAAAGTATGCACAAGATATAGATAAGTTGATGGAAAGTGAAATGATTTAAGGGATGGTATGGACCTGAGGTGTACAACTTAACAAGTTTAAGGACTTAAAAATACATTTTCAAAATAAAGTTCGTGAACCTAAGTGATATCCCTAGACAAATTTAAGTACCTAAGTAAAGTAGCGGCGATAGCCGAGGACCACGATGAGAAGGCTGCAGCGGTGTGTTACAGCAAAAATCACTGAACAGCCGGAGGTTGAAAACAAGGGCAAAAAAAAGTCATTTCTCTCGCCGTCTCTCTCCACGAACATGAGAAATAAATAAAATAATAGGCACAGTGTTACGGCAAATACACACGATTTTATAACGGTATTGAGCAAATTTTGTTTCTGGCGGTGTCCATCAGCAACAAAATTTTCCTAACAAAATAAGGTAAAGTACTTCTTTTGCCTTGAATGAAAAGGAGCCAGCAGGCACAGCTTAATTACCTGCTTGAAGCATCAGCATATTATTGGTACGTACCGCGATCTCAATCTGTCGTCTGCATATATACACCTTGCTCGCTTAATCGTTTCTGTGGCTTATAAGTCGACCGAGGTTGTTTTATTGTGAGAGAAAAACACTATATCATAGCTGATAAGGATGGCCGAACAAGTGATAATTGGATGGATCGCGCGCGCCGTCGTCGTCCCAGACTCCAGCTAGCCTCGATCCCTCACATCCCTCTCCGGTGCAGCTAGGGCCATGGTATATACATCCGCACGCTGGCTTATCCACTCCGATCGATCCATACATAAGTCATACTAGCTGGCTGCTGATTGCTGATGACCGATACCACCATCCAGCAACCTATCTAGCTATATCTCCATGTCTAGCTATATATCTGTCCAACTCAGCTAGCCAGCGGACTCGAGAGTTCATACGCAAATAACAATTATGATGGCTATATTTTATTTCGAATTTTTTTGATGGCGGTAGCCTACTTTCCCTCCTTTATTTCTAAAATAGATATAATCTTAGCAAGAACGTTGCCAAGTCAAACGTTCAAAATTAACCAAAATTATATAAAAATATACTAATATTTATTTACTAAATAAGTATCATTAGATTTGTTATGAGATATTTTTACATTATATCTATTCAGAGTCATGTGAAGGCAACTTAAGAACTAGTCGTTAACCCTTGGCCTTGGATCTGCTTACTACGTAGGCACCAGAGTTCTACATCGGAGGATTTCAACGGTCAAATTTTAACGGCTCAAAAACTAGTTGTTGTACTGTTGATCGCTCTATTGAACCACCGAAGAGTTCCGATGAACTCTATCGTCCAAAGCCGTGCAAAAATGTGTTGTTCTTTGAGTCACTCTCTTGTGCACACATCGGAGAGCTAGCTCTAGTGTCTGCAAACACTCTGAACCGTGCAAAGTTTGTTGACTGAGTAGACGGGAGGAGTTAGTAGAAAACACAGAGGGAGATCGATGGTGGAGGTCTGTTGAGGGAGCCAAAGGTCTCTGGGAAGGCGAAGATCGGCATGGGAGTGTAGGCAGCCGGAGGTGCACTTGGAAAGTAGGGGAAGGCAAAGGTTGTCTGGGAGAAAAGGGGAGGTGGAGGTGTTCCGTGGGGGGAGGAGGTCGCCGAGGGAGCAAGGGAGAGGCAGTGGTGTGTTGCGAAGGCGAGGAAGTGCTGCAAAGACGAGGAAGTGCTTCGAAGGCGAGGAAGGCAGAGATCATAAGGAGGCGGAGGCAGACTAGAGTCGCAGGTGAGAAGTGGGAGACAAGAAGCTGAGAAGAAGGCCCTTCCTCAGCTTCTAGCTTTTGAGATCTCCACATTATATATACCTTTTACAATTTTACTATGCACTATGCACTTAGATATGTACTATGTCTAAATATATAGTTAAAACAATTGTATATAGAATTTGAAATGGAGGGAGTATATTGGAAGAAGGCAAGAAGCGCTTGTGGCCGTTGCGGGAGAAGCCCGTCATAAGTTTAACATTTGCTTCAGTTTCTATTTTTTCTTTAGTAAAAGTCAACATTACCTCCCACAACTTTTGCGAAAGTTTATTTTTCCTCTCTGAACTAAAAAACCGGAGATAAAACAGTAAACATATAATATGGTATGCATTAGTATAAAGTTTTTTCTGTAACTTTAGATCTATGCTTTTTCTGTAATTAATTCATAGCTGCAGTTTCTATTGTCCAATTTTGGTGAATTTTTTATGGTGGTCTAACTATTGCATGCTTTAAGCCTTTAACTATAGTAAAAATTTCATACTCGTTTCTATTTTTACACACTTTTAATTATTTTAAAACTATTTAACAAGCATAAAAATAAATAAATCTATAACTCGGTTATACATAATCCAATGAGCCTAAAATTTTTACTACAGTTCAATCATATAATAATTGTCCACCATAAAAATTTCACCACAATTGGACCATAGAAACTGCAGCTTTGAATTAATTACATAAAAGCATAGATCTAAAGCTACAGCAAAAAGTTTGTACTAAAGAATATCATATTATGTATTCACTATGAAGATCTACTCACGTGGAGTCCAAGAAAATTAGATTTTTCATTTTATGGGTTTTCTGTGATTTACTATGATTTTTCAAATATTCAGCCGAAAAAAAACCGTCTTTGAAAACCACCTATAACCAGTTCAGAGAGGTAAAATGAATGGTTTTAAAAGTTGTGGAGGTGGTTTTCCTTGTTTTGGACTTCAGGGAGAAAAACTAAATTTGGTGATAGTTCAGGAAGGCACCCACGATGAGAAAACATCCAGGGCCCATTTAGCGTGTTCAGATCAGAAGAAGAGCAGCGGATAGGGCAACGAGTGTTGTTTGGGCCGGTCCACTCAAAGCGCAGCCCAGGTGGATTAGGAGCAGGAGGTGGTCCACTCGAGTCGTTCCACGTGGATTGACTTTGACTCGTTGAAATACGATCCCTGCAGCCTGCGGCGCAGCGACCGAGCGGCGAGCCATCTTCATTTGAATTTCAAATTCCGATTCCCCCCTTGTTTCTTCTTCTTCACCACCCCGCACCCTGGCCAAAATCCTTCCATTCAATTCCTTCCCTTCCCTTTCCACAGATTGGATTGGGTACCGCAGCAGCAGCCGGATGGGGTGCGTTTCGTCCTCCTTGCTCGAGGGGGACGGCGCCGAGGACGACCGCCGCCGCATCATCTCCCACCACCACATCGTCTCCCTCACCTCCTCCACCTACGGCATCCTCACCAGTCCGCGAGCCTACTGCTCCTCCTCCTCGTCTTCCACCGCCAAGCCTGTTGCCCTTGGCCCAGAGCCGTTCTCTCCGCCGCCGCCGCCGGCGGCGGCCACTCATTACGTGCCTCCTCCCCCTCCTCCCCCGCTGCCGCGTCCACCAACGACGATAAGACAACAAGCACCCCCAGCACCGAAACCCGAATCCCAGCCCCAGGCAGAGGTCATCAACTCCTGGGAGCTCATGGCCGGCCTCGTGGACCCCTCCACGCCGGCCAAGCCCACCCGCCCTCCTCCTGCAAGCTCGACGGCGGCAGGGACCACCAGCGCCGCCGCCGCATCCCTCTCCGCGCCATCGACGGCAACTCCTCCGCCTCCAAGGCAAGCCCCCCTCTGTCCTCGGCGTCCGCGGTTGTGCTGTACACCACCTCCCTCCGCGGGGTCCGCGCCACCTTCGAGGCCTGCAACGCCGTCCGCGCGGCGCTGCAGGCGCACGGCGTCGCCTTCCGGGAGCGCGACGTGTCCATGGACCGCGGCTTCAGGGACGAGCTCAGGAGCAAGCTGGGCTTGCTGGGCGGCGCCAGAGCCCCAGCTCCACCGGCGGCGGCGGCGGCGTCCATGCTCCCCAGGCTCTTCGTGCGGGGCCGTCACGTGGGCGGCGCGGAGGACGTGCTGCGCCTCGACGAGGAGGGCCTCCTGGCGCCGCTGCTGGATGGCCTGCCCAGGGCACGCGGAGGCGGAGGGGCCTACTGCTGCGACGGATGTGGCGGCATGAGGTTCCTGCCCTGCTTCGACTGCTCGGGGAGCCGCAAGCTGGCTGTCACGCTTCCCGTGGTCGCCGCCACCACGGCTTCCTGCAGGCGGCGGAAGAAAGAAGGGACAGTGGTGGTGGTGCGATGCGGGGAGTGCAACGAGAACGGACTCGTGCTCTGCCCAATCTGCTCCTGACCATCCTGCCATTGCCCACATTGCCCATTGGGGGAGGAATCGAATCAGGCAGGATCCATCCATTTCAGATGCAGGTGCAGGTGCAGGCCGTGCAGCCGTGCAGAGCAACAAATCCCCTTTGATCAGCAGGTGCTGGTTGTAAAATGCTGGTTGGTGGATTGATGATTCAGCAATCAGCAGGCAGAGGCAGTCACTCTTTTCTTTCATCAACCATATATTGACGATTGATTGAATGATTTGATTCTGTGCCAGTCTGCCTGCCTGGATTCAAATTTGCTATGCCATCTTAGTGCAGTGCAATGCAATGCAACTTTTAGAAACATTTGTTTGCCTGCTACTATTCTCAGGATCATCAACAAGTAATAATTACTAGAGGGCCGAGGCGCGCTCGCACGTAGCATTCATCAAGGATGGTGATTGCATCAAATAGATCCGTTCGCAACACACATACATATACGATCGTTACAGCGATCCCAAAATAGGATAGGCTATGTTTACATGCTTGCCTTGCAGCCTTTGGTGCTTCACGGAAGTGCAATCGATTGAGCGATATATAATGATGATATATGATCACTATTGCACTCTTCGATCAAGCAAGGAACTAATTTGAATGAACGTTGGAATTTCATTCGGATCCTTTTTAATTTTCATTCAAACGATCCACCCAACAATATATATAATTTGAATTTGAATGAACGAACTGCACCACGCCGCACCAGAGTTGGTTGTAAATTTCTTCTCTTCTGAAATAATTAATAAATTACGTAATAATATAGTAGTAACTCATTCACTAACCTGGCTAGCTCACATTGCAGCACAAAAGTGTGGTGATCGAGCACATACTACCTAGCTGCACTAATCCATCTGATCCAGGATACTTGCTTGCATTGAATTGGTTCTTCAGTACTATCTATCTTGTTTAATTACCCTTACGGTGACGATCCAGTATATATTAATTAGTACTACTAAGTAATACATAGGCTACTGCTCGGCCAGTATGATCCTTGATTCCACCAGGTGAAGGTGCAGGTGCAGACGTGCATCAGTGCAGGCTCAGCTAGATCGAGCTAGTCCTTCTTCCTCCTAGTCGCAACTCGCAAGTCAGTCAGCGGGAGGAGGCGCACAGCTGCCGCAGGGCGTGAAGTCGCACGGCAGCCTTGTCCGTCCGGCTGGTCCTCCACCGCCGGCATTGGCCCTGCGGAAGCGAGCGCCCTCCAGGAGCACCCTCTGGCCGGAGCTGAGGAGCGCGCCGTTCATGTGGTCCATGACGCTGGCCGTGGTCGGGTACAGGAAGGGACCCCTGGGGCGTTGTAGTAGGCGTTGAGCAGCGCTGCCGTGGCCTCCCGGAGCAGCGTCCGGTACATGTCGCCGCGGCCCTCCAGCGCCTCCCCGAGCGTCAGCTCCGACCCGTACCGCTGCGCCGCCAGGGGCCCGAACGCCATGGCCACCGTCGTGTTCGGGGTCAGCACCTTCCAGTGGCAGCGGTGGTCCGGCGACGCCCACATGCTGTGCCAAGTGCCATGCCATGCATGCAACGGTTCGATCGGTGGTGCTCGATGAGGAATTAAGGAAAAGAAAACAAATTAAACAACGCATTACTCGTAGGTGCAGGCGGAGCCCTGCGATGGTGCCGTTCGAGGAGGTGGCGGCGGCGGCCGCCGCACCTGTGGCTCTGGCTGGTGTGGGGGCTGCTCCTGCCGCAAATTCGTTGGCGGTTTTCGCCAGACGGGCGGCAGGAGCCTTGGCCTGCGGCGCCAGAAGGGTGGGAGCGGAGAAGAGGAAGCCGGCGCCGGCGCCTGGGCGACTGGTGGCCTGCCGCCGCGTCTTGACCTGTCGTGTCCCGGGCAGAAGTCCATGGCCTCCTCGGGCTGTGAGAGCAGCGGCGGCACGGTGTAGAGCGCGAGGCCCAGCATGCGGAAGGCGAGTGTGAGCTCGCGCGGCGCTCCCCCGCCTCCGGCGGACGTCGCGGCGCCCCCGCAGTGTCCCGTCCCCTGGACGACGCGCGCCGTGCAGCGGTTCATGTCCGGGGATCCCTCCATGCGGACGGAGAAGCCGCCGAACCAGTTGGTGTTGCTCTCCCGCACCGTCAGCGGGGTGTCGCCGCCACCGCACTGGATGGCCACGCGCGCGCCTGCCGGCCAGGACGGATCGCAAGAAATGCAGTTAAACGGATTGCAAGCAATGGCAAGAGCAAGAGCAAGAGCGTGCGTGCACTGCTTCAGTGCACGTCGAGTTCGTGATGTATCGGATGGGATGGGTTAGGTGGGCAGGAGCAAGAACATGTGCAGGAATGGCATGGACGATGATGCCCAAGTACACAGTACCGTAGAGCGGGTAGTCGAAGAGTCCCTTGGCGCCGTCCTTGCACTGGTCGCAGAACACCATGCCGGCCACCACCGTGCTGGCCGCCGGCACCGTCGCCTCCGCCACCGCGGCGAATCCCAACACCACCAGCAGACTGGTGCTGATGACCATCATCTGATTCTGATGCGGCTCCTTCATCATCTGAGAGCAGAGCTTGCGAGGATCGATGGTACGTACGGTTGATCTGATGTGGTGCTTGGTGTGCTAGCAAGCAAAAGCTGAGGTGTATATTACAACTAGCTGCTAGTACGTAACACACACGTACCAGCTGCTGCTCCTCCTCTTTGTGTGACGCGGGCGATTCGGCAAGCACGCGTCCGCATATGGGATGTTGTTACTGCACTTCTCTTTTCCCTTGGTTATTTAACAAGGGAAATGGGCTTTGCATGCTGCATTTTCTAACTCTGTCTTGTGTTGTACTAGCTCTAGGTTTTTTATTTAATTTGTAACTAATTAATACCGCTATTGTATCCATCTTGCTTAATTAATTGGTTCAAACAAGTATATATGTAAGCCGATAGCTTCGGCCTTCATGCCAAGGGAACTGGACTGGTGGCTACGGAAGGTGCCAAGGTGTCGATGCCAAATATATGTATGTATAAACACAAATAGCGATGGCATCGAAGTTTGGCATAAACATGCATGTGTATGACTAGTTCTCATCAAATGCAATACAACACAAAACTGATCCTTCTATCAACACACACACACACAAAAAAAAAATGTTCCACTTAAACAACCATATAATTCATCATTTAATCTTCAAACTTAAGCATAACTTTAATCTATCACTACATCATCATTAAATCAATAATTGACTTTAACTCTAGTCTTGAACAATTTCTGAGTCAGTCACTACCTATAGACGTACTCTTGGATGTCGACGAAAATGTTTTCCCTCGATGGTCTCCTCCTCTCAACTTTCCAAACTGCACTGCCCCACCATCCATCAATTTCACAACTCCAGCACCTTTCAGGCTGTTCGGCTGGAGCGGCTGGCTGGCCAGTGCTGGCCAGCCCTTTCACGCGGGCACTGTTCACATGAACAGTGTTTTCAGCCAGAAACAGTATTTTTCTCTCACACAAACCATCCAGCAGTCCTCATAAACCAGCAACGAACAAGCCAACAGTTTCGAATAGGCTGCTTCTGCCAGCTAGCTACATCCTCTACACCGGCAGGTAATACGTACAACCCAACACAGAATCATGCTTGGAGCACTGCTGCCGGGTTCTGGTGTTAGACTGTCTCTAATAACGTGACTCATCCCCAAAATTGCATCGTGCACAGTGTTTTGACCGCGAAAAACAAGCTCCAACGGAGTAGGCAAACACAGCACGCATTTTGTGTCGGAGGCGACGCGGAAGGCAAAAAAGCGTCCTCCCTCCGCGTCTTTGCGTCTCCGCCAGGCCCACCACCACGAGCACCACGAGGAAGGGGACGACCGGAGCTCAACACGGCGGCCTCGCGGCAGCTCCGCCTTGCCGCGGCCAGCATCGTGGGGGCTCCGCATCGCCGTCCCAGATCCGCGCCGCGCCCCCACCGCCGACCCGGATCTGGGGAGGGCCACCATGGCCGGGTGCCTTGCCCGCTCGCAGGCGCGAGATGAGAGAGCGCGTTACAAAGACCGCCGCCATGTCCGCCGCCCCGCAGAGGATGCGCGCCGCCGGTCGCGAGAGCCGCCTTTTGGCCGCCTTTGCCGGATCTGGACCCGCTCCCTATGCCACGGTGATGAGCGGCGTCGCGTGGGGCGGCGGAGGTGCTGGCGGCCTTCGCCAGCCTTCACGGAAACAACTGAACGCGAAGCTCACGGGCGAGCTCCGTCGAAGAAGAAGAAGGAGAGGGAGGGGGCGGATCCGGGCGCGGATCTGAAGCTCCGCCACATGGGCGCGAAGCTTCGGCCGGGCCATGAGGCAAGCTCACCAGCCGAGCTCCACGCGACGCGAGCTCACGGAAGCTCGAGCTCACGGGCGAGCTCTCCGTCGGCGCGAGCTCCGTTGGGGAAGAAGGAGAGGGAGGGGGGCCGGATCCGGGCGCGGGCGTGAGCTCGGCCGAGGGAGGAGGCCCCATCCCCGCGCCACGCTCCTGGGCGCGAGATCTGCCGGCGTCGGGGACGGCCCGCGCGGCCGCGGGGTTGGACAGGGTACTCGGGGCGGCGCTCCTGGGCACGCCCGCGTGGATTTGGGTCTGCCTGTCTGTTGGAGCGGAGATATATAGGTCGTGACGTTTTTTTTACTGTAGACGACCTATAACAGCGAAATGGGTATCGTATTTGGGTCCGTTCGTTGGAGTCAGTCTTACACATATGCATCAATAGTCCTAGACCAACCACAACGTCCCAAGGGAAGCTGGGTTGGGGCCTTGGGGGGTTCAATTCATCTTCAACACCCAAGTACGGCCGACCCGGAATGTATACATTCAAGCAAGGGTCAACAACTCTGTGTTGATCCTAATGGCTGAAGCTACAGCTCTAGCCCTGGTAGGTTAGGTGGCTTCTTTGCTTAACCTCCACAGCCCAAGCTACTTATCAGGGCCTGTTTAGTTCATCCAAAATACCAACTTTGACACTATAAAAAAAGAAGATTTCCCGTCACATTAAACTTGTGGTACATACATGAAGTACTAAATGTTGACGAAATAAAAAACTAATTGCACAGTTTGGTTGTACTTTACGAGACGAACGTTTTGAGTCTAATTAGTCAATATTTGGACAATTACTACCAAATAAAAACGAACAAGTTACTGTAGCTACAGTGCTTCGCGAAATCAGTCGGCGCCAACTTGGTGACCAACTAAACGTGGCCTCAGACAACCAACAATTGGTCAACTTCCTCAATGGCACAGATCATTCATCACCACCTGATTGAAAGATCAAAGCATTCACTTAGGAATTCATGAATTGTAATAGACATAACAACTTCAAGATTTACAGGATTGGGAGGAACCTCAAACCATACAACTCATCTGTTAGCAAAGCAAGCATTTGCAACCATCCAGTTTCAATCTTTTCCAATTTTCATTACTTGTACTAATCACGCTCATGTACATCAGTACCCCTGCAATGAACCTTGTTTCTCTGATAGCAGCTAGATGCTGCTGAAATAAAGTGATGTTACTTTTGGATAACGATATAGGGCGCAACCCGTCCTGCAAACGCAGAGGAGGAGATAGGCCGCATGAAGGCGTGAGACAACTATTGGGCCGGGCTCATCTCGGAGACGTCGCGCGGTCGCCACCGAGCACTGAATGGTCGCCGATTAGACTTTGCGTTACTTTTGTGTAAAAAAAAAAAAACTTCCAAACCGCGGCGCATCGGTGCTGCAGCCTGCAGACTCGCTCGTGGGCCAAAAAGATTTAGAAACAGATCTTTAGACCCAGCCCAACCACCCTTCTCCACAGCCCAACTCGCAACCATTTTTAGCCGCCATTGAGCGCACCAGCCGCACCCCTCCCGGTCCGACAAGTGAGACGTGAATTCATTTCTTTTCTTTTCGTTGCTGTGAGAAATTTGCAGCGGCGGCATTCGAAATTTGAAGTTCCCTTCTCCTCCCGTTAGAGTCCCTTGGGAGCCGGCCAGCCGTGGAAGGGAAGGGGAACCGCCGCCCGCGAGGCCGCGACGCTTGATCGATCCATCCCGCCCGTGTGCCCGTGTGTGGAGTTGAGTTGTGATGGAGGCCACCTCCCCGCCTCATCCTCCCACCACCGTCCGCCGGAACCCGCCCCGCCGCGCGAGGCCTCCCCCGACCCCGCTCACCGGCGCCAAACCCAAACCCTCCTCCCTCTCCCGCCTGCTCGAGGATGAAGCAGCGTCCGCCGCCTCCGTTCCCCGCCCGCCGCAGGAGGACCGCCTCAAGGTCTTCCTCCGCATCCGCCCACTCCCGGACCACCGCGACCGAAGCCGCCCAGTGCTCGCTGCCATGGAGCCGCGCCGGAAGCCCAGGCAGGGCGGACCCGGACCCGGGGAGGTCTGCCTCGCGCCCACCGGACCCAACTCCGTCGCACTAACTGTCCCACGGTCGAAGCTCGTCGACGCCAAGCGAGGTCGGACCGAGGTCTTCGATGGCTTCTCCGCCGTTTTTCCGTCCAACTCCACCCAGGTTCTCTTTCTTATATCACCTTGCAAATTAAACCCCAGCCTTTGAAGTATTATTGTCTAAAGAGCTTTATTAATTTCTGTAGAATCTTGTCCAAAACTGATTTTCGCTTTGCACGGTTTTGACCACAGTTTCTTCACTAAGTCATGAAACTCAGGATTATTTAGCCAACTCAACTCAAACCTGAACTGTTTACAGATTTAACAGGTCCAGCAGAAATTATGAGAGGTTTATGGTCAGATATCTCTCTGGGAAGCCTTTTAACAATAGCATATGGGAAGATATCCTCCCACTCTTTAGAAACTAAAATCCTATCCAGTTTTTCCAATATTGGACATTCCTGATTATTGTACCATGTGTATAGACCACCAGTCATCATCAACTCCCTTAACCCGTGGAAGTGAATAAGGGTGTTAAACAACCCAGAGTATCTATGTACCCTGTTGTTCTTATTCCTTTCTTTGGCATATCTAATTATATTGAAGTCTCCTCCAATCAAGATAGGTAGTATGTACTGTACCTACTAGCGATTTAGCTTGATGATTAAAGGTCAGGTCCACTTTCCTCCTCACAGCATGATATCTTCGCGCAAGTCATGAACCCTCTGGTGGATGACTTCCTGGGTGGAAAGAGCGGCCTTCTGGTTGCAATGGGCCCCACAGGCTCTGGAAAGACGCACACCATCTTTGGTAACCCAAGGAATCCTGGTATACTGCCCCTCACGCTGAGGAGAATCTTCGACGCACAAGGCGAAAACAAGGTTGCCAGGAAACCAGCAAGGTAAAACATGTTGTTTCACATCCAGTCCCTAGTTACATTTGCAAGCTATGGTATGGACGGAACCATATCTTGATGTTTCTTTTTCTATGACAATAACAGGTCATTTTTCCTATCAATGTTTGAGATACTTTCTGAGGGAAAAGGGGAACGCATTCTTGACTTACTGTCTGATGCTGTGGAGTGTGTTCTTCAGCAGTCAGTGATTAAAGGTCTTCAAGAGGTAGTCCTCCACCAAACACCTTGAACACTCTTGATAGGACTGAATATCCTTTGACTCTGTGATTTCAGTTTGAATTGCATTTCTTGTTGTCACCTCTTGAGAATTCCAATCGGATAGTTACAATTAACATGGGTGGGAAGGTCTTGTGCAAGTCTTGTGAGGAATTTGCATTTCTTGCTGTTATTTGGAATCATGATTTCTGATCACATGAATGTCCTGGAAGTTGGAACAGTACATGTCATTTGAATTGCATCGTGGAAGAGACTGATATGCCTGATATATCTGTAGCAGACAATAAGTTGTTAGCTTTAATTTGTTCTGCAGGTTGCCTTTTCAAATCCTGCAGATGCGGAGAGCTTGGTTTCACGTGGTATGCTAAAGCGCAGCACGGCTGCAACAAATGCTAACAGCAACTCAAGGCATGCTCTTGCTCTCCTTACAAATATGTTCGCTTGTTCTTTCGTAATGGATGTTTTTGTTCAGAATACACTTGTGTACCTTGGATTTTTTTTTTTTAATAATCATAACAGACATAGTGTTTCACTAGTGAGCACCACTATTTGCTTGCTTCTATTCTAGGTCTTTCAAATAACTTTTAAATCATGTTTATAAATATGATGTTAAAGAGAACTTCATTTTGTATTGCAGTCGATCTCAGTGCATCATCACGATACGCGCAGACAGTGAACATCCACTTAGTAGTGCTGTTCTGACCATAGCAGACCTTGCTGGCGCAGAGCGGGAAAGGAGAACCGGAAATCAAGTCTGTTTCTCCATCAGCGTTACTTTGTAATATGATAAAACAAAGATTTGTTTCTAAAAAATGATTAACCGTTTGTTTGCAGGGTTCAAGGCTGTTAGAAAGTAACTTCATCAACAACACATCCATGGTTTTCAGTCTCTGTTTGAGGGTACTGCCAAATGGCTTTTCTCCTGAATCTTTTTTTTCACTGCAGTCTACTTGCAAAACACTATCATTCACTCATTTGCATCTTTGAATTAATGAAGATGTGCTAGCCTGTTCACTAATTCTTTTCTTTTTTTGTATTGGTAATTGCAGTCTCTGTTAGAACATCAGAAAAACCAGAAGAAGCCCTTGGAAAAGCATTTCAAGAATTCCATGGTGATATTTCTTAATTCGCTTAAAGCAGTAGTATATAAGACTATTTTATGTTATGACCGGCGTCCAGTATCAAAGGCGCCGGCCCATTAGTGGCTAAGGCCTCCATCGGCCAGGAGTATTAGGCGCAGGGGCTAGGGGCTAAAAACCCATATTTATCCTTAGTTATTTATTTCCATAATTAGAGAGCAATTAGCCATATATAGGAGTTGTAATTCCCGTGGACAGAATTAAGCAAGAGTAATCTAATTACTCGGCTTCCCCTGGCCGGGAGTTGCCCTAGCCGCCGCCTCTGTTCTTCTCCTTTCCCTCGCGATCACGGTGCCCCGCCGCCGTGCCGCGCGTCCAGCCTCCCAGCACACGTACAACCTCCGATTGAACCAAGGGAAAAGTACAGGTCCGTATCAACCTGGTATCAGACTTGGCCATGTCGATCCAACCCTCCACCACCGCTGTTCCGCCCTCATCCACGACGGCACCGGCCGCCTCCGACGTCCTGGCCCCGGCCCGGCAGCGTCATATTAACGCGGCCTGGTGCCGACCTCCTCGCGGCCATGGCGGCGCGCGCGCCAAAAGGCGCCAGCAGCCGTCTTCACACCCGAACAGACGACAGACGTGATCGTCGACCTCAGCCACGGCTTGGCCGAGCTGCGGCTGACGATGAACACCATGCTCCAGCTCTTCAACACCTCGCCGCCGCAGTATGGCGCGCCGCAGCTGCAGTATGGCGCGCCGCCGCAACAACCGCTCCTGCCTCAGCCGCCCCGTCGGTCGCGTTCCAGCACTCGGCGCCGGTCTCCTACCCCTACGGGATGCCCTCCGAAGCAGGGCCCTCGACGGCACCGCCGCCTACTTCGTTGTCCGTACCGATCCACCAGCTCCGTTTTCCGTCGTCGCCGTCCCAGATTCCGCCATGGGCGCTGAACTACTCTGGGCCGGTCTACACGTCGGTCCCCCCTCGGTCCCACGTGCCCGATCATGGCGCACCGACGGTGTCGGGCATCCTCTACGGCGGCACGGACGGCCTCCTCGTCCCTGGCAGCAGCGCGGCACCCTCGGCTCCATCCTACCACGAGCCCGGCTACGGGGGGGGTGCCCCTGAATCAGCGCAGGGCACCGGGCCGCCCAAGTTCCACAAGATCGAGTTCACGACGTACGATGACTCAGTCGATCCGCTGAACTGGCTCACGCACTGTGAGCAATTCTTCCGGGGCCAACTCACGCCGGCATCGCAGCGCACCTGGATGGCGTCCTATCACCTCACGGGCGACGCCCAGACGTGGTACTATGCCCTCGAGCAGGACGAGGGCCAGCCGCCATGGGATCGGTTCAAGGACTTGTGTCGCCTTCGCTTCGGACCGCCCATTCGCGGCACTCGCCTGGCGGAGCTGGGCCGGCTGCCGTTCCACTCCACGGTGGAGGAGTTCGCAGGCCGTTTTCAGGTGGTCCTGGCTCACGCCCGGGAAATCTCCACCCGCCAAAAGGCGGAACTCTTCGTGGGCGGACTGCCTGACCACATTCGCGTGGACGTGGAGATGCACGACCCCGGTGACCTTCAGACGGCCATGTACCTGGCGCGCGCGACTTTCGGCGCAAAGGCCGCGGCCCTCGCGACACCGGCCAACAGGCGCTTCGCCTCCCGGCCGGCGCAGACTTCTTCGGTTCGCTCAACGGCGGGGAGGGACTCGGTCGGTCGCGCCTTCTTCAAGGCGCCGACCGACCGCCCCGCTTACACCCGCCGCGCACCTTCCGTCGCTTGACACCGCGCGGAGATGCTCGGCGCCGTCGTCGGGGCTTTGCTACAAGCTACGCGATGAAGCGATGCGTCGCAACCACATCTGCCCGCGTGTCTTCTATCTGGAGTCCTCCGACTACATCGACGACGACATCTTTCACACGCTGGCGAGAGGCGCCATGCGGACGCCGCCGCCGAGGACCCCACGGCACCACCGACGGAGCTATCGCTAATGCTCGGTTGTCTCCGTGCACGCTCTTGCGGGATCCGCACCTACCACACCATGTCGCCGCCGTCACCATCAGCGGGAATGTCTCCTCGCCTGCCGGACCCGCTCCACCCACACCCTTCCCTCCGAGGCACGGTCATGCGCCGCCTGGGGATTGTTCCGCGAGGCGGCAACAACCTCCGTGTCATTGTCGCGAACGGGGAGCGTTTGCCGTGCGAGGGGATCGCCCGTGATCTGCCCGTCATCATCGGTGGCAAGTCCTTCCCCGTCACGTGTGTGGGGCTCGCCCTCGGCTGCTTCGACTTCATCCTCGGCGTCGACTTCCTGGGAGCTTTGGGGCCTCTCCTGTGGGACTTCGAGGGCCTCACCGTCTCCTTCCAGCGAGGCGACCAGCGCATCACGTGGCAGTGCATGGGCGCCCCGGGTGTTTTGCCACACCAGCAGCGCCTGGCCGCGACCACGACCGACCAGCAAGGCGGCTCTTTGGACCAACTCCTGACAACACGGGGCCATCTTTGACGAGCCGCGTGGCCTCCCGCCTGTGCGCGCCTACGACCACCGCATCCACCTCCTACCGGGGACCGCGCCAGTGGCAGTGCGGCCCTACCGGTACCCGCAGCTCCAGAAGGACGAGCTAGAGCGGCAATGCGCCGCCATGTTGGAGCAGGGTATCATTCGGCCGAGCTCGTCACCATTCTCCGCCCCTGTGCTGCTCGTCAAGAAGTCGGACGGGTCGTGGCGTTTCTGCATTGACTACCGCGCTCAACGACAAGATGTCCAAGGACAAGTTCCCGATCCCGGTGGTCGACGAGCTCCTCGACGAGCTCCGCGGGGCACGCTTCTTCACCAAGCTCGACCTCCGCTCGGGCTATCACCAAGTGCGCATGCACCCGGCGGACATCGAGAAGACCGCTTTCCGCACCCACCACGGCCACTTCGAGTTCTTGGTGATGCCGTTTGGGCTGTCCAACGTCCCGGCAACTTTCCAAGCCCTGATGAACGACGTCCTCCGGCCCTTTCTTCGCAGGTTCATGCTGGTCTTCTTCGATGACATCTTGATCTACAGCTCTTCGTGGTCCGAGCACCTCCAGCACGTCGGCCTCGTCTTCTCCGCCTTGAGGGCTCACGGCCTCTACCTCAAGAGGTCCAAGTGCTCCTTTGGGACGCTCTCCGTCGACTACCTCGGGCATGTCATCTCCGCCGACGGCGTCGCTATGGACAGCGACAAGGTGGCTGCGGTCGCCTCGTGGCCGACGCCGCGTTCACCCCGGGGCGTCCGCGGTTTCCTCGGGCTTGCGAGCTACTACCGCAAGTTCATCCGCGACTTCGGCTCCATCGCAGCTCCACTCACTCGTCTCCTGCGCAAGGAGGCGTTCGCCTGGACGCCGGAGGCGGCGGAGGCCTTCGACGCCCTCAAGAGGGCTTTGTCATCAGCCCCGGTTTTACAGATGCCGGATTTCACTCGCGAGTTCGTCGTCGATCGCGCGGCGCCTCGAGATCGAGCTTGGCGTGCGTCCTCCACCAGGGGTCGGGCCCCTGGCGTTCTTCAGCAGACCCTTCGTCGCGCGCCACGTCAAGCTCGCGGCCTACGAGCGCGAGCTCATCGGGGTCATGGTAGCGGTCCGCAAGATCGGCGGCCGTATTTGTGGGGACGCCGCTTCCTCGTCCGCACCAACCACTACAGTTTGAAGTTCCTGCTCGACCAGCGGCTTTCCACTGTTCCGCAGCATCAGTGGGTTAGCACGCTGCTCGGGTTCGACTTCGCGGTTGAATACCGCCCCGGCCGACTCAACTCGGTGGCGGACGCGCTGTCCCGCCGCGACGAAGACGTAGTGGCAGCATTCACCTTGTCCGGGCCGTCCTTCGCCCTCTACGACGACATCCGGGCAGCCACCCGGGAGGACCCAGTGGCACGCGGCCTCCTCCTGCGGCGAGCGGTAGCGGGAGCGCGGCTGGAGGCGCCACGACCGCCATGACGGCTTCCTCCTTCATGGCAAACGTGTCTCACGTTCTCGACCTGCAGACTTGCGCCATCGGTGGTGACCTGGCGCGCATACCACGGGCATGCATGAGGCGTCCGAAGACCCTTGTGCGGCTGCGCAATGACTTCTACATTCCGGCGACCGCAAGCTTGTACAAGACTACGTCCGCAGCGTGGTGTGTGTCGTCGCACAAGAACAAAACGCACGACGACACGGCGGCCGGTCTCCTGCAGCCCTTAGATGTGCCTTCCCAAGTGTGGGCCGACATCTCCATGGATTTCATCGACGCCCTCCCCAAGGTCCATGGTAAATCTGTGATCCTCACGGTGGTGGATCGCTTCTCCAAGTACGCGCACTTCATCGCCCTCGGCCACCCCCCTACACACGGCGCGTCGGTGGCTCGCGCCTTCTTCGAGGGGATCGTGCGGCTTCATTGGCTTCCCCACTTCCATCGTCGTGATCGCGATCCGGTCTTCACCACCACTTGTGGAGGGATTTGTTTCGCCTTGCAGGTGTGAAGCAGAGGCTCAGCACGGCCTTTCACCCTCGGGACGGACGGCCATCCGAGATCGTCAACAAAGTGATCGCCATGTACTTGATACTGTCGCGACGACGGTGACGAGCCGCGCTCATGGGTCGATTACTACCATGGGCGCGAGTATCTTTGCTACAACACGCGTACCACCACCGCTTGGGCGACTCCATTCGAGATTGTCTCACGGCGCCCACCGCCTCCCTCCCCTTCGCCCCACCGGAGGGGGGCGAACCGAGACAGAGGACGCGGACGCCATGCTCCGGACCGCGACGCGTTCCTGGTCGAGGTCCGGGAGCGCCTCCTCCAGGCGCAACAACACGCCAAGGAGCGCTACGACGAGCACCACCGGTGTGGACTTCGCCGTGGGCGATTGGGTCTTTGCTCGACTTCTTCACCGCCCGCCCCTACCCACACGCCGCGACGCCGCCAAGGGCAAGCTTAATCCTCGCTTCTGCTGGGCGTTCGCGTCTGAACGCATTGGGTGGTGGGCCTATCGCTCTGTTGCCGAGATCGCACGCCTCCATGATGTCTTCCACGTCGGGTTGCTCAAGCAGTGGCGTGGTGATCCTCCTGCGACGCCGGCGGTGGTGCCACCCGTTTCCGAGGGCCGCCTGCTACCGGCCCCGGAGCAGGTCGTGCGCGCTCAGCTGCGCCGCGGCCAGTGGAAGCTGTTGGTCAAGTGGCACGGCCTTCCGACTGATGCTGCGACATGGGAAGCTCTCGACGACTTCAAAGCCCTCTACCCCGATGTACAGCTCGAGGACGAGCTGTTTGTCGACGCGGGGAGAGATGTTATGACCGGCGTCCAGTATCAAAGGCGCCGGCCCATTAGTGGCTAAGGCCTCCATCGGCCAGGAGTATTAGGCGCAGGGGCTAGGGGCTAAAAACCCATATTTATCCTTAGTTGTTTATTTCCATAATTAGAGAGCAATTAGCCATATATAGGAGTTGTAATTCCCGTGGACAGAATTAAGCAAGAGTAATCTAATTACTCGGCTTCCCCTGGGAGCCGGGAGTTGCCCTAGCCGCCGCCTCTGTTCTTCTCCTTTCCCTCGCGATCACGGCGCCCCGCCGCCGTGCCGCGCGTCCAGCCTCCCAGCACACGTACAACCTCCGATCGACCAAGGGAAAAGTACAGGTCCGTATCATTTTATAATTGAAATTTCAATGTTAGCTTCTAAATCTTTTTGCCATTTTTGATAGTTGACAAGGTACTTAAGAGACTACCTAGAAGGAAGGAAGAAAATGACTCTGGTATGATACTTGGACCTGAAATTATCACTTGTAACATTGAAAGTATATATTAGTAAATTTGTCATGATCAACACTTTCCAATGACTATATTTTCAATAAATACAAACAAAAAAAATGCTTGGAAAAAGTAAGTGAAAAAAATTGGAGACCTTGCAATATCCAAAACTCAAGTAAAAAAGAAGGGTGGTGGTAGGTTTTTAGTGCTACATATTTTTGCGCAAGAGGTTTTTAGTGCTACATAACACTGGTGCTAACCCTTCAGTGTACTTGTTGATTCTTGTGTGCTTTTATCTTTACTTTAATTATCTGCCCTTATTTTTCAGATCTTGAATGTGAAGCCAGGGGATGATGATTATTTGGATACATCATTTTTGCTTAGACAAGCATCTCCTTACATGAAAATAAAGTACTATTACTCTCCTTACTACACTGATTCATTTTCTTTTCTTTTGCTATAATTGAGAAGAATAAAACATAACTAGTGGGAAAGGTGGTATTAGGTTGCTTATTGGTGCCAATCATATCAGTATTTATAAGGTTGATAATTGTAACTGTATTAATAGAATCTTGCTAATCTTGTAAGATCATAGTTTGTAGCTTCAATTAGAAGAAATGCGGCGAGGAAAGTGGCAACATTGATCACTTAATCAAATCAACTAGCTTTTCTAGAAACTTGTTTTTGTCTTCAAAGACAAAAGGATAGATGTCCCATTTAGGGTATTTATTTTTTTGTAAATCATTTGGTTACCATGTGATATTCATTACTTGGCAATCTTATAGCCAAGATCTCTAATTTACCCTTTCTAATTTCTCATTCATTTTGCTTCCTGTTATCTTGTCAGGTACACTAGCCTTGAGGACTCTTCTGACTTGGCTTCCCAAAAGAGAATCAATGTTTCCTTGATTTGCCAAGAGAACAAGAAAAAAAGGAAGGTTCAGAAGCCTGAAGTCCTTGTGGTACAAATTGCTGTTTACCTTCAATATTTGAGTGTGTTTAGATTTAAGACTGTATAGATATCTTCCATGCACTGCAGCATGTTGACCCAAAGTTTCAATTCACATACATACCATATGTATTTTTACTGAATGGTTATGTCTTTGCTGTCTTAAGCAAAGATATAACCATCTGATCATAAGCACTGCTCTTGTTTTAAAAACTATAGGACTAGGGAAGGTATTATTTCTTAGTGGGACTGTGTTGTCTTATATTTTACGTTTGCAGGTTGAAGGAAAGGAAAATGTTGATACAGATGATATTTCTAAAGTTTCTGAAAAAGGTTCTGTTTACTAGCACTTATGATGTATTTCAATGTCGCATGCTTTATTTTTGGTACAAGTTATCTGTGGTACTGGTGAACCTTTTATTTACTTTCAATATTGCAATAATATTTGAAATGGGTACAGATGGCACACAGCATGTGTCTCTCAACTCAGAGATGCCAAGAGTATCCAGAAGCGAAGCAATAATGACAAACTTTGCCAGGGCTTTATTGACTGTATTAAGACAGTATAAGCACAAACTTTTGGTAATTTCCGATGCATTTTTTTCTTCTGAGCATGATATGTGGAACATCTGTTCAATATAAGAGGTTTTCTGAGTGGTTAATACAGAACTCGAATACCCAATCAATATATATATCCAATGTTATTACCATTAAAGGGTAACAATATTTTCATCGTACTTGTTTTCACTGTATGCTGTCATAATAGGAGTCCGAGAATGCTGCTGAAAGCATGAAAGAATTGTTTAGAGATAATGATATCCAAATTAGAGATAAAGATATCCAAATTATGGAGCTGAAAAAGGAGCTGGAGGCTGTAAAGTATTGTTCATGCAAGAGCTCTCCAATAACTGAAGATGACTCTGTTAACCATGATGATTCTGCATCATCTGGTCAAGCTGCTCAGAGTTTGGTTTCTGTATCAAATCAACCTGACCTGGGATCTTATGATGCTTCAGAAGATAATTTGCATGTAAGCAAAAGAAACTTTAATACACAAATCTTGATTCATCTGTTATTTTGGAACTTTAATGGCCTTCATTTATCTCCTTGGTTATTCGGGAAAACAAGGATGGTTGGTACCAGGATATGCTAAAAATTCATACGAAAGGCCACACCCTTGGCTGCAGCCAAGGGAACTTATTTTTAAAAGTATAGTTATTATTCTTTTGGAACATGGAATGTTACTATCAGCTCATATTCCTATTTTTCCTTTCTTTTGTAGTATCTTCTTTTCTCTATCTAGCATCTATTGCTTGTGTCCAAGTCAGAAGCAGTTCCTTTGCTATGCTGGCATCTCATTGTTTTCTAAAATGCAGTCAGCTGTACATTTTTAAGCTATACCATTGTCAGAAGAGTATTAAGATACATTAGGGCTTCCTCGATAATATGATCTTGTAAATTACAAGATAAACCAATAATTACCCCCCCCTCCTTACAGGTAGACGCACAAGAATTGACATGCTGTGGTCCTCAAAATTCTTCAGCTCCTTGTATCCTGAAAGGTTAAGTCTGTTCACTGTAAATGTGCCAGAAGCAACATTTTAAAATGGTTGTTTCTAGTCCTGAATTAATTTTCTCTTTGTGTGACAGGGGAATCTGACAGTTGTGATGCTTCGTCTGTTTCTTTGATAGATGAACAAGTGTGCTCCAGAGATTTTAAGGTTGATGCCTACCTTGTATATTTGACTGTTTTCTGCACCCACTTGAGCAAAGTGTTATCAATTTCACGTATCTACTTGTAGTGATGCAACCTAATATTGTAAAATGATGCTTCAGTTTGTACTGATATGCATTACAATCCTTTTTTAGCCAGAGAAGTCATGCCATCTTAATGTTTTTTGTTCAAAGTTTGACATAGAAAAAAGAGGTACCAAGGTTGCTCCTCTTTCTAAATGCATATTTAGTGTTTTTTTACCAGTAACAGCCTACCCAGCGTGCTTGGATAGTAGGCTTTATTGCTATTGTTTTGCTATTAGCACTTGTGTGGGTTGTGGCAAGAATTTTCATTAGAGTTCACTAGACCAAATATACATTGGAAATAATAGTAACATATTATCTTTACCTTTTTCCTGTTCTTTTAGGTAGAGTTACAAGTGCTTCGTAAGGAATTGGATAGATCTGAAAGTTTTACTGTGCCAATACCTGCACACACTGGTGGTGCAATGCCTGCATCTAGCTATTCAGATCAAAGCTTGACAGGTATCTCATATTTCTATACTTTCATTCTTTTTTTTTCTAAATAATTTTGCATGGTAATCTGCAGGAAGTTAGGAGTTGTATTTCTTGTTCTGTAGAGACTGGACTCCCTCTTAAAAGATGATTAAATCTTTCATAAGGAAAACCTGTTTGCTTGAGTTTTCATGAATTTTACTAGGCAAAAGATCATCAGGGGTATACTTTAATTTTCTGCAGAAGATGATGCACTTCTGTGCCTGAACACTGAAAAAACCAGGCTATCTCCACAGTGTACTACTAGTAGCAAGACAGCTACCATAGGGCAAAGTGAAGAAGAAACGGAAGAGTTGAGCAAGGATAAGGATATTCAACATATTAATATAAGAGGTGAAGAGCTTTTTAATCTTTTATTGAATGATTTCTTTCTCTGATGCAATTTTGTGACGATTTTATTGGATCTTTGAATAGAAGAGAAGCATCCTGAATCTCGGAGCTCTTCACAGCAAGTGATCTTTGACACAGAAGGTACCAGCTCCAGTGAGTCATCCTTGCTTGGAACGGTAAGGAATGAATTTATTTATTCCATTATTCTCAGCCACTGCCCAAATTAGCTTGAGGGTAGTTTACAACAATGTTCCTGTATTGTTCTCAGGTTGAGTTTTCCATCTTATTTCTGTAGCCAAGTCAGCTGTATCATGAATGTCGTTGTTAGGAAACTTGACAAACCGGTTATACTTGTTTAGGTTGCTTCTGAAACGAAGCTTGGGGAACTGAACCAGAAATCTGAAAGATGTGAACCCGCTGTAGAAAAGGCTACCGTGGAACTGGAGCATGGTATAGACTGTGGTCAAGCTCCAGACCAAAAGTGTGATCATGCCCCAGCGAAAGCTGCAAAGGTTTGAAGTACTTTGTTTGCCTTGAATATATCACTGGAATTATACACAGCTTAGAAGTTGTGCTGGGAATATATTTTCTTACACAGCTGTGTTGCTTGCGATTGTGCCCCCCTAGGCTCCAAGCAAGTGCAGGGAGGCAGATGAAACTGCAGATACAAATAAGGAAGCTTTTGGGTCTAGGCCTGGCAGTATGAAGAAAACCAGGAGGTGAATGCACGATTATGTTGTGTGTACAAGTAGAAACATATATAGTGATCGTGCAACAACTAATTGGTCTCGGGGTTTGGTTGAGCAGGAGGTTACAGCCAGCTGCCGCTATGTTGCTCAGGGAATTCACTGGCGCTGACATTGATGCGGATAACGAAATGGTACGTATGTATGCATGTATACTGAAAATGGCAGCATAAGTTTTGGAATGCACATATAGGTCGGGTTTGCTTGTTGACTTGGGCCGCGGTTGGTGGTGATTACAGGAAGAAAGATGCAGGTCATCATCCAGATCCAGGGTGCCAACCGGGAGATCAGATGCACTTGTGCAACTTCTGATGAAAGGCCGTCCAGGCGGTCCAGTCCGTAGAGCATAGTGTAGCTTCATGATGTGGTGAAGCTAAAGCTAACGGTAGAGGAGGCACCGCATGACACGGCACATTATTTCGTTGACAGATGAAAAAAAAAGCCATGTTGTGTTGTGTTTAGGCCGGTCCAGGATCTGTGTCTCCCTCGCCCGCTAGTAGTACGTAGTAACCAGCAGCATGGGTTTGATGTGAGTATGTGAGCATGGTGGTTTGTAGAAAGGTGTTTGCTGCACTTGCACTTGATCTATGTGTATAATACTCCTGTGGTAGTCTTCTTGTGGATGTGATCGCAGTTGCATATGCTGCTGCTTCGTTGAGAAATGAAAGTAGTAATTATTATTGTCATGTACCTGGGAAAAAACACCAAGCTGGGCCTCGGCGGATGCTGGAGAGGATCAGAGCAGAGCGAATGGACGGCGCAGGAGTTACCGACCATGGATCCACCTGGCTAATAGATGGTTGGACAGGGAGTTGAAGATGCACATAAACTATTAGTACCTATTAGCAACTCTAAACACGTAAAGGAACTATGTGTGTGCGTCAGTACTGAGTACTGTCTCTTTTTTTTCCCCTTCGGATAGCGTGTCCTTGTGAGATCCGCTTGTCTCGAGCAATTGTTTAGGCAACCTTCTTGAGCATTGAACATAGTAGATTCTAAAATGTCAGGAATTGTGCTTGTCTTCTTAAACCATACTAAACCATACAACCCATCATTCAAAAGAGCAGTGAACTACTACTAGTCTACTAGTATGTTTTATTGCATTAGTAAGTCTTTAAAATGTTTTAATTAATTACGAAAAATTCGCTGTCTCAATAAGCGGAATTTTTTTTGGGAATACTCGATAAGAGGAATCTAATCGGCGGTAGTGGTGTAGTTTTGCAATTTTCTATAGTAAAAAAGAATTTAAATTAAAAAAATAAAAAAATCTGCTGGAGCAGCCCATGAAGGGAATGGCCGGCCCCGGAGTTGCCGACCACGAGAGTCCTGACGATCCTGACCAGCAGGTGCTGGGCTGGGTGTCTGTCTCACTCTCTTCTCTTCTCTTCTCTGGCGTCTTCGTCGTGCTCCTCCTGACCTCCTCCTCCTCCCTTTCATCGAAGGGTGGAATCCATCCAACAAGGAAGGCAAAAGGGAGCAAGGGGAAGCAAGCAAAAATCCCCAATTCCTTCCAGATCGACCCACCGCCGGTGAATCCAATCCAGCAGCTGTCGCTTGGAATTGGATTCATGCGCATCCGCCCGCTGCCGCTGGCCGCCGCCTAGTCTCGGCCGGCCGGCCGACCGGCCGCCCTCCTCGCGCGCGCGCCCTGCCTTGTATGGAAACACGCAGCAGCAGTCGCAAGCGCGCAGCGGCCGCCGCCTCCTCGTCCGCCTCCAAGCGCCCCCGCCGCAACTCCTCCGCCTCCTCCTCCTCAGCGCCGCCGCCCCAGCAGCCACCGATGGAACCCTCGCCCTCCTCCCGCCGCCGCTCCCGCGCCGCCGCCGCCGCCGCCGACAAGGGCAAGGACCCCGACCCCTCCTCCTCCGACCACCCTTCTCCCCCCGCCCCCGACGATGACGCCGACGTCCCCTTCCCCCAGTCCTTCACCTCCGCCAGCACCGCCCTCCAGGGTCTCCTCCGCAGGCTCGGCGCCGGCCTCGACGACCTCCTCCCCTCCTCCTCCTCAGCGCCCTCCTCCGCCACGTCGGGTCACCTCAAGAGGATCCTCGCCGGCCTGCAGGCGCACGGCGACGAGTCGCGCCAGCTCCAGTCCCTCATGCAGCTCTGCGAGATGCTCTCCATCGGCACCGAGGACTCGCTCGCCGCCTTCCCCGTCGACGCCTTCGTCCCAATCCTCGTCGGGATGCTCGGCCGCGAGGACGAGCCTGCCACCGCTGGTGCCAGCCCCGACGTCATGCTGCTCGCTGCGCGGGCACTCGCCAACCTCGTTGATGTGCTCCCCTCCTCCTGCTCCGCGGTCGTGCACTACGGGGCCATACAGTGCTTCTGTGCTCGACTGCTCACCATAGAGTACATGGACCTCGCCGAGCAGGTGGTGTCTTCCCTGCTTTTTCTTCTTCTTTTTTTCGCTCTGTATGATCAGTCATCCTCATTATCTAAAAAAAATGATCAAGGTGCTGCTAACACATTTACTTTACTCGCCTTCTCAGTCTCTACAAGCCCTTAAGAAGATCTCTCTGGAGCACCCAATCGCCTGTTTGCGAGCTGGTGCGCTAATGGCTGTTCTATCGTATCTTGACTTCTTCTCCACTGGGGTTCAGGTCGAGTCCTCTGATCTTCTTTCAGCCGTTCTTGTCTTGTGCACTGTTTGCATCTACTTACACCTCTTCCCATGGGGGCACATGTTTGTTGTAGAGGGTAGCCTTGTCTACCGCCGCAAATATTTGCAGGAAGCTGCCGTCCGATGCTTCTGAGTTTGTCATGGAAGCTGTCCCCTTGCTCACGAATCTCCTAAATCACCACGATTCCAAGGTACTTTTCAAGCTCAGTCAGTCAGACCTCTGCATTATGATATGACTTATCGAGGTATATCATGTATTTCCCAACCCTTTTATTTATGTGCCTTATAGGTACTAGAGCATGCTTCTGTTTGTTTGACACGCATTGCTGAAGCTTTTGCCCATTACCCCGACAAACTTGATGAACTCTGCAATCATGGATTAGTTGCTCAAGCTGCTAGCTTGATAGCTGCTGGCAACTCCTCTGGCCAGGCATCACTGAGTACATACACATATACAGTATGCACCAATTTGTTCTTGATACCCTTCTAGTGTTTGCCCTTTGCCGTGGCCCCTCTCACACTTATGCTAAAATTTGGTTGCACACTTTTTCAGGGCTTAATCCGTCTTCTCTCAATATGTGCAAGTGGATCCCTGCTGGCAGTTAAAACACTGCTTCTTCTTGGGATCAGTGGCACTCTTAAAGACATCCTTTCTGGCTCTGCTTTGATTTCTGGAGCATCAGTCTCCCCTGCTGTAACAAGGCCTGCCGATCAGGTGCATATTTCTATCACTGACTTAGGATTTGACTATTCTGCTAGTGCTGACTTTTCAAAAAAAAAAAAAAACATCATTTCTCTCTGTGATTGGTGGATTCAATAAAAATCTGATTTATCAGTGAAAAATTAGGCTTTGGCATCTCACGCTTTCTAAAATTACATCTACCACACATACCTATACAGCCTTTTTGAACTCTAAAGCGCGACATCACATGTTCATAATTATAGAGTTAAATGCCTCAGTGGCCCCTAAACTTGTCAAGGGGTGCCACTTAGGTCCATTAACTTTGAAAACATATTTCTAGGTCCGTAAACTTATTAAGTGGTGCACCACACATCCCTAAACTTGTAAAACGATGCACTACAGGTCCATTTCTGGACCATACCAACCATTGTGGTGCACCACTTAACATGTTTAGGGACCTAGAAATGTGTTTTCAAAGTTCGTGGACCTAAGTGGCATCCCTTGACAAGTTTAGGGGCCACTGAGGCATTTAACTCATATGTACCATCAAGCAATTGTTTGGGTGATTTTCTTGAGCATTGAACGTAGATGCTAAAATGTTGGGAATTGTGCTTGCCTTCTTAAGCCATACAAACAATCATTCAAAAGAGTAGTTAAGCCATCACATGTTCAAAGACTTGCATACTTTTATTGCGCTTTTTTATTGCCTGAGTAAGTCTTTTGTAATGTTCTAATTTTAATGAAGCAGGAGGTGTTGGTTTATGGCACACAGGGGAACAAAAGTCTCACTTGTAACATGATAGAGCAAAATCTGTCATAGCTCATCTTGATTAAGTAGCTGTTGTGATTCTTATCGCCTTATTTTCCTTCCTAGTGTGCAAGTAAATTGTGCTTTTGGTCAATCGTATTCGGTATGGTACAGATACAAGAGTTCCTTTTCCATGCTATACAATTGAGTATGAATATATAATGTTGTCTCAGCTGCTGCTTGTTGCTGTCTTGCTTAGCTGCTGAAATCATTTGTGGTACATACACACAAGAGTCTGGCATTTGTTGAGTATGATTGTTTGAACATATACGGTTATCTGCAGCTGCCTCTGTATCCTCTCACTTTGCTGCTTAAACACTAACTCTTGAAGTCTACACTGTTTGACCCGTCAGTTTCATACTTTCATACACCTGTATGTTTCTTGTTGTCCAAATGTTTTTCATATGTTCACCCCTAATATTGCAGATGTTCGAGATTGTGAGCCTTGCTGATGATTTACTTCCGCATATGCCTGCGAGAATCATTAAGTTACCAACATACTACCATGCATATAAAGGCTCTTCAACAAAGAAATCTGCTTCCATCAAAGAAGAGGGGGCTGGTTCAACAGGAAACGAAAGGTCTGGCCGTGAGAGGCTATTGCGTGAGCAACCTGAGCTCCTACAGCAGTTTGGTATGGATTTGTTACCCACAATGACACAGGTTAGTGCCGGAATTCTTCTCCTGACAGCCATTTCAATTACTGTTTGTGTTTTGTCTTTTGGGTACTTTAATAGCCTGTGTGCTTGTTCAGGTGTATGGTTCTAGTGTAAATGCACCAATACGTCACAAGTGTTTGTCGATCATTGGAAAGTTAATGTACTACAGCTCTGCTGAGACAATCCAGTCTCTCCTTGGCACAACAAACATATCCAGGTTTTAATACAAGTTCCTTCAAAGCCTATATTCCTTTTGTCTGGAGAATGGTCTCCCTCCCTCCCTCCCTCCGAGCTGCATGCTTTTCATTAAAAGAACAAAAGGTTTCTTAGGTCATTTCTAGAGAATGTTTTCAGAACAATGGATGCTAAAAGACGAATAGAAAGTCTCTCAAGTCTCAATGGACATACTTCTTTTCCAATCCCTCTTAAGTTATTTCGTTTCCATCTGCAGCTTCCTTGCAGGCATTCTTGCATGGAAAGATCCTCAAGTGTTGATTCCTGCTCTTCAGATAGCAGAAATAATGATGGAAAAGCTTCCAGAGACATTTTCCAAGCTGTTTGTGAGGGAAGGTGTCGTTCATGCCGTGGAGTCACTTATATGTTCGGAATCTTCCAACACAGTGCCTTCTCAGGTGCCACCACAGGATAAAGATAATGATTCTGCCATGCCATCACGTCCTAGACGTCAACGCCGGCGTGGGGGTGCTGGGGCAGCAGAAAATAGTTCATTAGATGAATCAAATAGTTCCAACCTTGGGGTTACGTGCTCAACAACAATCGCTTCAGAAGCTCCAAACACCAGCCTTCGTTTCGCAGTTAGCGACCATGCAAAGTCTTTCAAAGATAAATACTTCCCAGCAGACACTGATTCAAGTGATATTGGGGTTACTGATGACCTTCTTAAACTGAGGGCACTCTGTGCAAAGTTGAATACTGTATCTGAGAATGTCAAAACAAAAGCCAAAGGGAAATCAAAAGCTATAAGCGCTAACTTTTTGGATATCTCAATTGATGTCGAAGAACAATTAGACAAAATAATATCTGAAATGCTCTCTGAGCTTAGCAAAGTTAATGGTGTTTCCACATTTGAATTCATTAGAAGTGGTGTTGTCACGGCATTGCTTGACTATTTGTCTTGTGGAACATTTGGGAAGGAAAAGGTATCTGAAGGAAACCTACCTCAGCTTCGTCAGCAGGCCCTTAGGCGATACAAGTCCTTCATATCTGTTGACCTTTCTATTTATCATGAACGGGATGAAACTCCCATGGCACTGTTGGTTCAGAAACTGCAAAGTGCATTGTCTTCGCTGGAACGTTTCCCTGTTGTGCTCAGCCAGTCTAGTAGGATTGGTATTGGAGGGTCACGTCTGACTTCAGGTCTTAGTGCTCTGGCTCAACCCTTCAAGCTTCGTCTGTCCCGAGCTCAAGGTGAAAAATCGCTTCGGGATTATTCATCAAATATTGTGCTTATCGATCCATTTGCCAGTCTAGCAGCTGTTGAAGAATTCCTTTGGCCCAGAGTTCAACGCAGTGAGGTTGCGTCAAAGCCTATAGTTCCATCTGGTAATAATTCTGAATCTGGGGTTCCTGGCACCACAGCTGGTGCATCATTAACAGCTGCAATGGCTCAATCTGGTCGGCGTCCAACAACAAGATCAAAGTCATCTGCAGGGGGTGGTACATCTAAGAAGGATTCTCATGATGAAAGCACTAGTACTGCCAAGGGGAAAGGCAAAGCTATTGTAAAGCCAAACTCAGATGAACCAAAAGGACCTAATACAAGGAATGCTGCCCGCCAAAAATCTGCTTCAGAGAAAGATTCGGAAATGAAG